GGTCAAAAAAACTTGTAGTGGTATAAACGAAAATTATCCTGTGCTTTTTGCATGAAAAAAGCAATCCTGATTCCTCCATGGCTGTTCTGCTGCTTTAAAACAGCTTCAGAAAGTTTTTAAAAATGCGAGCATTCGCGTAAATGCAAAAGAAATAATGGATAAATATTGTACCAGCCTGATCAGGGCCATATTCCACTGTCTAAGCAATTACTAACCTTTTATAAATCGGACCCCGCGGACAAAATTGTCTATTAGCAGTGCCTCGTCGGTTGGTCATGCAAAAAGCATTGCCAGTACTTTCATGGAATTTCTCAACATCGGCCGGCAGAACATTTTCCTCGGGACATTTTTTCACGCAAATCTTCAGCGAGCTATTCGTATGAGTAGCGTCCAAAAAAAATGAATATCTACAAAGCTTTTGCACTTAAATTAAGTTTTAAAGAAAACATCTATTGAGGGGGGGTTTTTTTAAAGAAAGCATCTTATTACAATCGCAAGGTTAGATGGTACCAGACTTAATCAGTGACATAGAAATAAAATCCAGGTTATCACGCACCTGGCTTACCAGTGCGGTCATGCATTTTCGCACTGAACTTGCAAGAGTCAGATTGTTAACAGCATGAGTGTTTCCTGCTTTACAACTTAACGGATGGACACATATTGGCTATATTTTGGCATTTTCTTGCATGCAAAGGGAAAAAGGCGTTAGTTAGGATGGTAGTGTTGCACCATGGGGCCACACTGACCTCCAGCATGCATGGTTATCAATTCTGCATGAAGATCTTTTTTCTGGTGAGCGGTTCCTCATCGAAAAATTCAAATTTTGCAATCCACAGAATGCTGGAGCAGAAGGATTACAAAATCCAGAGAACGCACTTACTTTTGAGGTAGCGATAAAAATAAGTATTTCTCATGGCCGTGCGCAGGGAATTTAGCCTCCTGGCTGTAACTGAATCGCTAGTGAATACAAAATACCCGTGCAAAATTGCAGCCTTGCTGGTTTATCCAGTAACAGCTACTTTGCTACAAATATCTTTAAAATGCCTTATTTCGTGACGCAGATGCAGATCGAAACTCGTTTTCTCTAGGATCCGAGGGGTCCTGGTACTATTGATATGTGAGACTGAAATCACACAAAACACGAAGACGTTTTGCTAAATGCAATCATAAGTTAGCAGATGCCCAATTTCCCTTATCGAAGAAGGTTCTTACTTCTCAAGCGGAAAAGAAAGTTTCTCGAGATGTAAGCTGCAGATATTTCAGTATCAAATTACCAAGAAACGAAAGAGCAAGTAATAGGAATTGATTTTTGAGAATGCTGTCTAATGCGTGAATTTGAAAGCAACTAGCACTTGCAGAAAATCAGCTAGTTTCATTCTTAAACCCAATCTGGAACGCACCAGGATTGCCGGTGCGATCATGCGTTTTTGCATTAAATTCGGAGACACCAATAGCAGGGATGATCCCTGCGCTGTAACCTAACACTTGAACTCATATTGGCAATCCCCTTTCGACATCAGGAGAAAGGGCATCGGCTGGGATGAAGCTGGTGCATTATAGGGCCGCATGGACCTCAGTTACATGATTGCCAGTTTTTACGCATTTTTGCCGTGCAGCGCTAGAGCGCTGCAACAGGCTGCAAAAACGCATAGTGCAATGACCCTGTCAGTGTGCGTGTGTGTATGTTTGTATGTTTGTGTGTGTGTGTGTGTGTGTTCGTCTGTCCGGGCATTTCAACTCGCTAACTACGCAGGCTTTGAAGCTGAAATTTTGCCAGTGCGTTCCCCAGCTAAGTGCTACTCCAGGACCGCAATATCAGCTCTCACGCGCTTCTGGACCCCGCCTACGAACACGTGAAAGTTTTGGAGCGAAAATTGCTGATTCGGGAACGAGAAAAGCTGAAAAGCTGAAACCACAGAGTAATGTTCCCTACCCGTGTATGACAAAAAGATTTCAAATTCAGCTGCGCAGGAGTGCTCGGGGCTTTCGTACGGGCACGTGAAAATTATGGCGGAAAAATTCACAACTAGGGAATGAGAAAAGCTAGAAAGTCGAAACTTTGGAGGAATGTTCCCTATTCATGTACGACCAAAAATTTTCAAACTCAGCTCGTTAGGACTGCCGGGGCTCAAGTAGGGGCATGTAAAAATTTTGGTGCGAAGATCACTAACCTAGGAACGAAAAAAGCCAGAAAGCTGGAACTTTTGGGGAATGTTCCCCACTCATGTACGACCAAAATTATGTGTTTAGAAGCGCCCGGGGATCACGTGCGGGCACATGGAAATTTTGGCGCTAAAATCACTAATCCAGGAACGAAAAAGCTAGAAAGCTGAAACTTTGGGAGAATGTTCCCTACTCATGTACGAGCAAAATCAGTT